AGGCCAGGACTGGAGGAAGCTCCATTCTCCTAAGTTTTATACTTACATGTGAACATCCTAAATATAAAGATTTATATTTTCAGCTGAATTTCCAATGCCTAAGGCATGGTGATGCTCAATAAATTTTTGTTGCATGAGCGAATAGAAAGACAGTCAAGACTATTTTTTATGACAGACTCAATTCAGATACTCTGTCTTTTCTTCAGACCAGAAGGTGGGTTTCATAAGCACCATGAAGAGCTGTACTGACCAAGAGTGGCAGCAGTCAGGATGTAAGAAACTCAGATGTCTAAACATCCTGCCTGCTGCTTTTAGCTCTCACTAGTTGTGTAACAATAGATGCTGCTTCACTTTTTCTGTTTCCCTGCAAAATATGCTTAGTATATACACATTCTGATGCTCCCTTTAGCTGAATCTGGGCAAGCTTTGTTGAGCAAAGTGCTTGAAATTACTAGGACAAGACCCTTAAATAGTCTTTTACTGCTTATGTACAAGCTGGGTTGGAAATTTCTAGGGAAAGTTCTTTTATTTGGTGATTGTGTTTATTGAAACGATGTTATGGATTTCGGCAGTTAAACTAAGTCCTTGTCCTCACATTGGTATTCAAATAGTAGATGGAGGTGATACTTCAGTAAATAGATAAGAAAGTCTCAGAACAATAGAGGGAATTTGCAGAGTAAGAGGATGATGATGGCCTTGGCAGAAGGAAACAGGCCGCTCTGATGGCTTGAAGAGGTCCAGGGTGTCTCCCAAGGGTTCACATGCTAGCACTTTTGAGAGGTGGTGGGACTGTAAGGGATGGAGCCCGGTGAAGGGGGCAAGGTCATTGGGAAAACTACTTCTGGGAGAGATTAAAGTACTCTTGTGGGATCCAAGTGATTCCGATGATAGTGAGTTGCTATTGAGAGATGCAAGCCTGACCCTGCTCCATTGTCTCCTTCTACCGCCTCTCTGTTCACCATGCATTCCTACTGTGATACTTCCCAACATACTATGAAGTTGCCAAGAAGGCCCTCATCAGAGCTGAGCTGAGGGGATTTCCCTATACCGGGCTTTCATGCTCTAAAACTGAGCTCAAAAAATGCATCTTTTACAATAAAAAGTAATCAGTCTTAGGTATTTTGTTATAGCTACAGCAAACAGATGAATAAAGCTGGCTCTAGAAGGTCTTCATGAGGAAGTGCTCCAGAGCAGTAAACTGCTCTTCATCCTTTCCCCTTTCTCTGTCCCTGAATCCTTGTGCATAACATGAGTGTGTTTAGAGGACAGAGGACAGAGCAGAGCCAGCTGACTTCTTTCTGTAATGGTCTTTTGAGCAATCATGGCCTTTTGAGTAATCAGGCATGGGAGTGAACATCTCTTTCGCCTGAGAATCTTCAGGGATCTGTCACAGTTTGCATAGTTTCAAGCTGTGGTTCTTACAGTTTTAAGTCATAGATTTCCTTAGAGAATTTGAAGTAATTTAGGAAAAACTCCTCAATGAAACACTTTTAAAGTGAAAAATGTTAGCCTACATAAGGGGATCATAGCTTGTTGAATCTATTATACAGAGGCTTCTTTTTTCAGCAAGAAGGTCTTGGTTAATAATAATATCACTCATTTATTGAAAGTTTAACATGTCTCAACTACTTAAAATGCTGACTACTTAATATCTATTGGCAGTCAAACCACCCTATGACAAGGTCTAAGAGTGCCTAGTATGTATAAAGATCTCCATTCAACCCTAGCACTACAAAACAAAACAAAACCTTTTAAAAAAAGACTCAGTAAAAGGCAGAATTTTACAGGTCTCTGAGGTATATGCTGTTGCAAACCCCACTGGAAACAAATGCATTAATATAGTTAATTACTTCCCCAAAGCACCCAGGGATTGGATTGAATTAGTATTTGCCTAGTTTTTCTTTCTCTAGTTGACCTGGTAAGTAATAGAACACATTTTGGCTGAGTATTTTATCTACTGGAAAGACTTGGGTAGTTATTAATGTATAATTTCAGGAGTATTTGATGGTAGGTTTCCAAAGTAATGAGCTTTCTTCTAATGTTGTGTTTCCCTTCATACTTGTGCCATTTAATGTTGGGCCCTGTGCGATGGCAAATGTAACTCTGTTTTGTAACCAGACTTCCATTTTGTCCTGTACATGTGAACTCCTTTTGACCCAGTTTATTCTTGTACATCTGGCTGATGCATGAAACAGCAAGTTCCTTCTTCCCAGTCTTTACATCCTGCTTGGCAAAATATTTGGTCCATTACCCAGAAACAGTTAGTTGTCTGATCAAATTATAGAGTAGTAACTGTTACCCAGGATCACCCCCTACCCTAACACTTATGTCTTGGTTACGTTTCTCTCGTTGAGACAAAATACCTGATGCCCAACATGAAAGAAGGGAAGATTTATTTCTTATGGTTTTTGGAGGTTTCAGTCCATACTCAACTGGCTCCAGGGCAGGGGCAACACTTTCAAGGCAGCAGCCAGAGCAAAAAGGAGAAAATAAGCCTCTTCTCCTCCCTTACATTGTATACAAACTACCCTCATCCCAGTGGGTGCAGAACTCACACCATCTCTGTACCCTCCTCTTGCACAGGATGAGGATATTCACAAAGTAAGAACCCTGGCTCCCTGCTGAGTCTCTCACTAAACTTATAAACTGCTCAAGTTAACACCATGTATCAATCACAACACCTTAAAACCCTTAAACCTTTTCTCCTTGGGGTTGATATCACCAAGCATGCAGGTGGGGTGTCAGCTGTGGGCTAATAAAGGCCATTTGGTTTAGTCTCAGCCTCCATGAGTGATTCTCTGCCTCTCAACACCTGAGTGCCCAGGGCATCTGTGGCCACTGATTAGTAAGCCATGCCTGTGTACATTGCCATAAATGTTGCTTGGTGTTTTACTGTCTCAGTTACTTTTCTTTTGCAGAGACGTAATACTTGATGCCCATAATGAAGAAAGAAAAGTTTATTTAGCTTACAGTTTTTGCAGGTTTCAGTCTACACTCAACTGGCTCCAAGGCATGACTGAGGGGCAGCCGTTCATGGTAGCTACAAGTGACAGGAATGAAAATGGATAAGAGGGGAAAGCACACTTCCTTCCCTCCCTTACACTGTATGCTGGCTGCCTGTCCCTGGGCAGGTGCAGCACTCACTGACAATCCCAGTACTAGACAGTGAACAAATGCTAGATTTAGCCACCTCCATGGTTACATGAGTCACTCAAACACAAATTATGACAGTTGTTTTCTCATAACTGGACAAAATACCCAACACTCACAATTTAAAGAGGAAAGGTTTATTTTAGCTCACACTTCAATTCATTGTTGGCCAGCTTCAGAGAAGAAATGGCAGGGCAAACTGGCAAGTTAGGGTAAAAGCTGTCACCCTATGTATGTCAAAAAGTGGAAGGCGAAGAAGGAGGGAAGGAGGGAGATATACTCTTCTAGGTTGTGCCACCAGTGATCAGCCTCTGCTGACTTGCTTCATCTCCTCACATCACATTTAGCTGTGGTACCCCAAGATACAAATACCTTTCAAAAACCCTTCCTATAAATGCATGAGGGTTGGGAGGGGATCTACATATAAACCATAACACTCTGTCCCTTGCTTCCAAAAGTTTCATGTGCATCTCTTAAGCCAAAATCCATTTATTTCATCTATAGGAAGTCCTAGTGGTTGTAGCACTGCTGAAGAATTCAAGTCCAAAATCTTCTCTGAGACTCAAAACAAACTCTCAGTCATGAGGCCTTCTAAAAAGCTAAAGAAAGTTAAACCTAATTGCAATGACACAGGCTAAACATTTTCATTTCAAAAGTGAGAAATATGGGTTAGAAAGCAATGAGACTGAAACAGGACTGAAATCCAGGAAACAAAATATTAAGTCTTATAGTTCTATATCCAGCATCTAGAGCAAAATGGGCCAGATTTGAGCTCCAAACTGCTTGGGTATGCCCCTGCCAGAGGTTGAAGCTCTTAGTTCCTGTCTCTGGTGCTGACTTTGCCTGTGCCTATAGTTTTCCTGTGATAGTTCACACTCCTGGTATCTCCAACTCTCTGGAGTCTCTAAAGCACTTGTGGCTTCATTCTCACAGCTTCACACATGATCCTTTTAGGGACACACTGCCTGGGATGTGAGGCCTTCTTCTGTCATATGGGTGGAAACTTTTCTGACTGTAAAACCCTTGCATTCTGCATGTGTATAAAGCAACACCTTGTAGATAATGCCAAGGTACGTTACCAATTTGAACAGTAGCCAGGCCCCCTTGAATCATGATTGCAGTGGTCTCTGAGTGCCTGTATGTCTAAACTCTGGGTAACTTTTCCTAGTCCTGAATAAACTTTGTAGAGCAAAGGGCAATGCTCTCAAGACATCCATTTTATTGTCTTTACTTTCAGTGCTAATCCTTTCAACAATCAAGCTGTCTTTGGCCAAAACTTTCTGTTCCTTCTGTTCTGGTGAAGCAGAAAGCTTTTTAAATGATTATTTGGCTCCTGATTTTCAGTATAAACCTGGCTCAGACCAGCAAGTAGTACCTATGCTGTAGCCTGAACACTGGGCAGCTTTGAAATTTACTCTACCACATGCATTATCCTGCCTTAATTTCAGTCTGATACAAAAATCTCAGGACATGAGCAAAATGTAGACAAATTATCACTTGACTTTAATACACATGGCCTGGAGTTCTACTGTCAATGAAGTCTTTTTCTCAACTGAAACTCCAGAGCCTTTACTATCTGTGTTTTTTAGCATTCCTCTCATCTGTACTCCAAGAAGAATCTCCCCATCGATTAGTTTATAACATTCTAGGGCTTCTCTAGTAAGCGTTTCCAAACCTTTCCAAATCCCTTCCATGAATCACTTTCAAATGCTTCTAAGTGATATGTTCAGCATCATAGCAATAATGCCACCAAATTATCCACCACCCACAACTTAGGAGAGCTATTTTGGCTCACATTTCAGTCTGTGATTGGCCAGCTCCAAAATAGAAGCAGCATGGCAGAGGGGCCTGGCAGAGGAAAATCTGCATGCATCACGGTGTGAAAGCAGAGAATGATGAAGGGTGCTGGGAAGGGAGGCATCTGCTTTCAGGTCATGACACCAGGAGCCTGCATCTTTCCACCAGGCCCCAACTCCTACTGTCACATTTAGTGATAGTGCCCCTGTGATGCAAAAGCCCCCTTATGAGCACATGAAGCTTTAGGGGAAGATTCGGATATAAACCATAATGCTTGGAACCGGCTGCAACGGAAAAAGAAGAGAGTGAGGAAGCTTCCTGATTGACAGTAAGTTATTTTATTGTTGCGGATAGCAGACGGTGGGTGCAAGAACAGGTAATGATTTCAAATAAGAGGGACTACCTTGCCGCAGCTTAGATGCTCCATAGCAAGGAATAATAATTTGTTTTTGGTACTAGGAATCAAACTCAGGACCTTGCACTTGCCAGGCAGGTGCTTGTGCTGCTGAGAATAACAAAAATCTTTTTTTTTCTATTAAAGAGCCAGGTATTAGGTATTTTAAGTTTGAAAGCCAAAGACAGCATCGTATATTTTATGTAGACTTATTGAAGTACTTAATATATACTGATTTAAAATGTAAAAACAATTTTTAACCTATGGACCATATAAAATCCCATGGGATATGCTTGCCTTTCAAGTCCTAACTGCATTATTTCTGCTGTGGAGCTAGGTTAGCTTCCTTCAAATCTAGACTGTAGATTGGATGGATCACCACCGTTAGCCGATTTAGTCTTTCTGAGTTTTTACTTCCTCATGAGTCAAACAACTGTAATCACAGCATCGACTCCACTGTGCCATTATAGAGTTAATGTAAGTAAACTGTTTAGACAAGTTCCTAGCACCCCAGAAAGGCTGTATCAATATTTGCTTCATATTTTTCCATGATCATTTGATGTAAGGACTTCTTCAAAGGTGTGTGAGCACTTTGTGATCTCTGCTTAAATATGGAGTGTGAGAACTGATGTAAGGCAATCCTGGAGGACTTAAACTTCCTGTATATTCAGAAAATCAGGCGATGATAGTTTGGTCAGGAGAGTTCTCCCTCATCTTTTATGTTTCTATGCATAAAAGGAAAAGTATATGCAGGGCAAGTGTGGAACCAAATGGAAAAATGTTCATGATAAAAAAAACTCTTCCGTCCCTTCTCCTCAAGCTCTGTACCAGATTCCCTGGGAACTCAGGGCTTCACACTTGCCAGCAAGCACTATGCTGCTGCTCTGCATTCTTGACTCTGATGCAACTTTTTAAAAAGTATCTACAAAACTGCCTTTGGCAAAAAAGTCCTATCAACAAGACCAAGACCATGGTTGGGGGGGGGGGTTGCAGGGATTCCTCCCACATCCTTCCCCGACACAGTCCTCAGAAAGCTCTTTCTCTGCCTTCTCTGTCACATTATCTGACATCCTCTCAGCTGCAATTGTAGGGATGGATCATGGGCACACTGGTTGGATGTATGTGTTTTTTTTTTTTCTGGATATATAAGTCCCTTTTTACTTAGGAAGCTAGAGATAATTCAGGGAAAGAACAAAATATAAACTAGCCCTGGTCCCGTTGTGGAGAACTACCACTGCTATGGTGGTCAGTGTTCAGCTTTTAGATAATCACACTGTCTTCTTCTATGCACTTAAAAGAACCATAACAATATTATACTCAATAGTCACTAACCCATTAGTCATAGATGACTATTGGCAAAAATGCAGAGTTTACCTAGGGTTTCCCACAACTGTTAAGTAGAAATCAGATCATATCTATTGTGAAATTGTGCTTTTTTTCATACTATAAAATTGCATAAGAAGTTCTGGATTCTCCACACACCCCAAATCATTCTCAGTCTTCTTAGAGATCTGCAACCCTCTGTTCCCTGCTCTAAACTTTTTTTTCTATGAAGTCTGATGCATTTCTCAGGATTATCTTTTGATTTGCTCTCTTTTTTCCTTACAATCTACAACCTTCACAATAGAGATAAACCCAGAAAGAAATAATTTTATCTAAAGTTTTACTATCTTTCTGCCTCAATCTTTCTCTCCCTATCTCCTGGTCTCTCAGAAATGTCAGAAATGATCCTTGGCAAGAATGAGAATCCTGTGGAGAGGCAGTATAGAGCCTTATCAAAAGGAGTTGGGAGAGTGAGAAAGTGAGGACACAGTTCATCTTAGAAGATCCAAAATATAAAAACAGAATGTGCTCATGTCTTGCCTTTGAGTAAATTTCACTTACTGAGATATCAGAAACATTTTCCTTAAGGTTCTGAAGACACAGTTTCATAGGGTATCTGGTATTCTATTGTTTACACCACAGTGTACTTCAACAGTGCTCTTGTTGAAAGTTTAGATGATGCACCTTTTCTGCTGATGTGACTCTTGGGTTGTGTCTTTGGCTGTGTTTTGTGTATTTCTTTTTATTGGCATCCATCTTGAACATGGCCGCTGGGAGACAGTGCTTGGTTGACCCAATTTGACCGTCTTTGCCTCGTGCTAGATAAGATTTTGGTGCTGAAAGGATGTGTGTCTTCATTTATAAGTGCATTCAGAAATAAAACAGACACATATTTCTTAGGTTTTCCCCTGGAGGTGCTTTCAAAAAGGTGATGATCTTTTATCTCAGCTTTCTGTAGAAACGTGGGGTGCAGTTCATTTTACACACGACGTGAGAGCAGGAAGGAAACAGAACCTCGCAGAGATGCACAGTGAGCTTTTACAACTCAGAAATTTACTCTAAACCTAGAAACATCCATTTAGCTTTAAAAACCACATGAATTTAAGGGGATATTAACTTGTTTTTGAGTCATTGACACTTATCAAATGTAAATATGGTATCCTAATAACTCTGTAAGACTTGCAATCTTTTAAATACTCTGACAGGGGAAATGTAGAGGAACTTGGTGGTGGTTTGTAGGAAAGGAAATGGGATGGAGGTCCAGAAGGAACAGAATTTTGTTTTTCTGTCACTTGGAAATTCATCTGCAGTGTGCAGGGAAACCAAGCAGAGAAATCATAAAGCTATGAAGTGATCTCTGAAACAAGCTAGGTTCCTTCAAGCTTTACGTGTATTCTGTCAAATAAATGGAGTAAGTCATGAGGGAAAACATTGTCCTGTTGTCCTAGGGCTTTAAAAATTCATGTTTCTGGCCTTCATCTCCTCCATCTCTTTCGTGTCTCCTTCCCACGCATTGCTCGTTCATTTATGTATTAAGCACATGTGTACTAAAAGAGTGCTATGTGCCAGGCTGTGTTTTAGGAGCAAGGATTTTAGCTATGAATACATCAGAAAAGGTTACTCCTTTTACACTTTAGAGGTTTGGTTTCATGATGAGAGTGACAGGTAAACCAGTAAGTAAAAGCAACCCACCCGCCCCTCCACTTTGAGAGTGGGTAATAAAACAGAAAAGTGGTTTGATTGTAGAGTCGGCCAGGGAGGAAATTCTGAGCAGAGAACACCTAAGCTGAGAGGCTGAACAGGGAGCCAGCCAGTGGGAGGTCTGGGTGGAAAGCCAATGCCTGGTTAAGAGAACAAGAGAGGGAAGGGTTCTGACATAGTGTCTTAGTAGGCTGTTGTTGGGTAACACATTACACTAGAACTGCACAGCTTAAAGCAGTAAATGTTTATTACCTCATGGTTTCTGTGGGTCAGGAATGAGGCATGGCACAGCCGGATCCCCTGGGTCAGGGTCTCTGATAAGCAGCAATTAAGATACTGGCCTGGGTTTTAGTCAGTTTATGGATGGGAGATGGAATGCTTTCACACTCACTCACCTTGTTGGTGGCACAGTTCATGTTCTCCAGGGCTGCTGGAGTGAGGAGGGTCTTGGTTCCTCATGAGCTGTTGGGTACAGGGCACGCTTAGCTGCTGCCATGTGTCAGCTTGTAATATGGGAGCTTACAGTACTGCATCTGACAGAACAAGGTGAGTGAAAGGGAACAACAGCCAAAGGGATGGAGGTGTCGGTCTTTTCCAACCTGATTTGTGAGCAACGTCCTCTGATCTTTCCCTCATCCAGCAGGTCACAGGGCTCAACCTACACACAGGGAGAGGGATCTTACACAAGGTGTACATATGAGCTAGTGGGAAGATTGGGAGCCATCCTGATTGCTGCTGAGAAGGGAAAGCCTGGGGTATAATGGCACAGAGGCCAGAGAGACTGGAGCAGGCCAGAAACGCAAGGGGTTCTTCACAGACAGGGGTGGGAGCCAGAGCATTCCTGGTTCTCAGGCCCAAGAGAGACACAGCAGAAAGTCCCTGGAGAGCTCTGTGGGAATAAGGCACCATATTTAGTCCAAATTCTAAAGATTTATCAGGACGCACATGCATATGGGCCGTAGGGTCTAGGATAACAGTGGAGGAGCCAGTTAGAGGCAACCGGGCTTAGATACAGGTGATTTCATTAGACCTTATGTCTATCAAAGAACTCAAAGCAAGAACAATGGGATAAACTTAAGAATTAGTTAATCTACTTTTCTTATTCTCATGGACCAGGACTCTGCAGTCACATTACCCATGCAGTTCTTGGCCTTAGCCCCTTCTTTTGCAGCATGGAAGGCTGGGCTAGATTTCCCTGAGCATTAAAGAATGCTCTCTTACTAAAGCCAAAAGCCTGGATCTGCAGGGACTTTCAGCTTCTGTCATTGTCTGAATCCTGTGTGGAGCAGAGGGAGGAAAGAAAGCTGGGAGTGGTGAGAGGACACCGTGGATGAAGGTGGGGAGGCCAAAAAACACTCGAACAAATAAGAAGGATCTGAGAGTCGGTAGGTGTGCGATACCACCTCTGGTACAAGTCCTGTGGTTCACTTCCTGGCCCTGCATGCTGTGAGCGTGCTCAGATGCAGAGCAAGGGTGAGCAGAGACATTCGACTGCACAGGCAGATCCAGGATCCCGACAGCGAGATCCAGGATCTCGTTGTCTTTCTTCATGGCACCTCTCAAAGGCAAGGGTTTTTGCTTTGTTCATTACTGCATTTCTAGAACTTGGACCACTGTGGACTGAAGGACTAAGCATGGTGATTCAATGTGAAAACTAAGATCTAGAGGAAACACACACTCTAGCTAAGGTCACAAGATTGGAAAGCAGCAGGATGAAGATCTGAACACAGTTTGCGTGACTCCAGACAAACTACCAGATGGTGTGTGCCTGTCACCTATCTGAAATGTAACCCTCAGTTTCTTGATTCATAAGATGATATGGAATATTATCTTCCTGAGTTTGCTAGCATCATCAAGTGGGAAGATAATTGTGAAAGCCCACTGTAAGGTATTAATTGATTTCCTAGCCT